GGGAAATTGTTATTTTAGTGTTGACAGAGCAGATGTTCAAGAACACTTAAAGCAAACCAGATACACTGAGCTTTCTGTCTTGCTCTTCCTCTTCTCCTGCACTCTTTCTGGCCCCACGAGCAGTGGCCTGGCTCCAGAACAACAGCGTTCACTCCTCCTACCTTCGGGCTCAGCTAGGGCCTGATGGCAACCCCAGCAGGGGTGGCCGGGTGGTCTGGCTGAAGATGCAGGTAGCTGGATATTTTACCATTTATTTTGGGGTGCTGATGTTGGTTTGAGGGAGGAATGAATGGTGGCAAGTGAGAGCACAGGCCAAGAAATGTGCCTGCTTTGGGTAGTCCTTGGTGGCCTTGTGGTAGCTCACGAAGGGTTGAACACCCGTGGGTGGCCCTGTGGTGGTGCCTCTTCATGAGGGGTGGCCACCCTTGGTCTGATGGCAATGCCAGGCCTCTTGTGGGCGAAGGAAACCTCAAGCTTGGCAGTGCTGTGACTGAAAGCCACGTCTGGACTGGCTGCAGCTCTGCTTCTTGCAGTGAAGCTTCAGGGATGGCCCAGCCTGTTGCTGGACTGGCTGCAGGAAGGTCACTATCAGGTAAAATTGCTGCGACGTGTTTGTTACCACTCTCCTGATAGGACATGAAGGAAGAAGCCTGGTGGGAAGGAGAGCTCACTCTTCACCATCACCCATCTCCTGTGGTGAACCCAGCATCTCCTCAAGAATGAGGTGCAGCAGAAAGCTCCAAGCCAACTGGGAGGATTTATTTCGCTCTTTGTCTGATTCGACACTGGTTCTTCTGGCTACCTCTGGGCATGTCTAAGCCAGTTTGACCAATTCCCATTAGGCTTTCCCTTGTTTTCTCCTTTCTTGAGCAGTTTCTGGGACCAGACAAATGGAAGATGACATCTCCTACTTAGGACCAAAGAATAGCTTCTGGGATAATGTTTGACAGCATAATTGTGCCTGGCAGTGAAGGAGCACCGGTGTTTAATTGTGGGCCATGTTAGTGTCAGCTAGGTGTAGAGGGAATGAGTGTGTAATAAGTATTTGACACAGTTCATTATCAGTCATGGTAGATTAAATAACAAGACATACATTAACTCATTTAATAATTAGCTACCATCATATCAACTTGATAAAAGAGTACTATTAAATAAGTCTGACATTGTATTAATACAGTCTTTAATTTTTAACATGGAAGATTAAGATAAAGCAAGTGCCAAGGACTGTATTGTAACACCTTCTCCAGCTATCTTGGGGTAAACATCTTTTGGGCAGAGTTAAAGCCTCCTGGGTTTAGTTAATGTTAACTCCCACGTCTGGCATTTTTCTGAAACCTTGAGTATTTGTATTAATTGCTCACATTCCTTTGGGAGAGAGCCAGTAGGCACGGACACCTGCTGCAGCAGAGCTGATCACGAAGGGCAGGCGAGGATGTGGTGAAAGCACGCAGGGCACAGATGCCCTATGTAGGGCAGCGCTCGGAGGAAAGGCAGCCAGGAGAGCTGGGCAGGTCTGTCTCAAGCTTCCTCTGCGGGGTTCGAGCTCTCACTTCACCTCTTTTTGCATCACTTTCCTGTATAAAAAATACAAATATCAGCTTTTCTTTTTCCACGCTGTTTCATTCGCTGTGTCATGGCTAGCGCTGCGGTGCTGGAGGCCATACCACATGTAAGGTTAACCACGTTTCCAGGGCTGGTTAGAGAGGTATGAGAGCGTAAGAGCTGCTGCCTGTGCTGCCCCGTTTGCGTTTCTGTTGACCGCACGGAAAGTCCTGGTTTACGCTAATGCAGCAACAAAAGCAGCGTGTGGTTTGTGAGTGGCTTAAGCTGGTTACATCTATCAGGTGTCCTCTTCATAGTGAAATACTAGTAGGAAGTGGGATGAGAAACAAACGCTTTGGTTATAACCATGATGTAGAAATCGGTCGCATGTCTCTGTTTCCTTTCATTTCGCTTTCGCTGCCGCTGACGGGCTTTGTTCTGGTGGTGCTTTTTCGTGTCGCTTGGGCAGCGTGTATCCTCCAGCAGCACCTTTCATCTCACCCTCACCTGAACACGTGCACGAGAAAGCTGCTGGTGGGAATCACACCCAGCAGGAGGTGCCAGGGTGCGTGGTGGGCACCCAGAGGAAAGTGGAGGTGGGGTGTGCTGCCCCAGCAAGGGCATCCACAAAGCAAGCTGGTGTCTTGCTATGGGATGCTGCTCCAGGGATTTCTTTTCTTATGAATTTGTCTGATGTAAGCCACTGGAAGCTCTCAGCACCCCCAGTGTGCTCCCCAGTTAGGCTAGGCACCACGCAGACGGCTGTCTTTTCCATTTTTAGTGTGCTGGCTGCTGGCTCCTGTCCACTCCCTCTTAGATCCCACATGAAAATGACAGTGAGCAATCCCTACCTGTTTTATGTGACATCGCTCGTTGCCTTTGCTACAGCACCGGGCAAGTTCCTACATGCTCATGTGTGCTTGTAAAAAACATTTTGTGGCATTCTGGTTAACGTTTAGCAAAGCCAGTTTAATTTCAGAAGCTAGATTTAAGTTTTTTGTTGTTGTTTGTTTGCTTTTTCTGAAAAAAAAATATGTTAGAAGCTAAGTATTTTCTTTGTAAATAATGCTAACTAACTTGGATATTAATTTCTATCAGTTATTTTTTGTGCTGATATGCAAGGCTAAGTGGCCATGCTGTAAAGGGATTGCAGAGGTCTTTATCGGAGGAACTTAAATGTTGTTACGCTGGTGCATTCCTTGCTAAACACTGCAGTAATGCTAGTGGGCAGTATAAAAAATAATGGTAGGCTCGGAAAAACAAAAGTCAGCTTAAAATCAGAGGAATGAGAGGATATATATTTATATCTGTTTGCTTCTTATATTCTTCCTGTGCTTTTTTTTTCTTTTATTTATCTGAGACTGCTGTTTCTGCTTGCAAGGGCTTCTCCTACACTCCTGTGCTGTCTCAGCATTTTGGTTTTTGTTATATTGAAAACCAGGTTCTCATGATGTTACTCAGCTGAATGGCCAATGCTTTAAGAAAAGCAAATATGACAGGATACTTGATGAAATCGTGGGAGATGGCAAGCTACGGTGGCTGTATAAAGCACCTTTTCTGGTGAAGCAAGTTGACTAGACAGCTGGGGGAGGGAGCAGGTAGATTTATTCTGAAAATCACATTAACAATGTTCACGCAGGAAAATGAGCTCTTGATGGGAGGTGCTAATTGATATTAATTAAACAACTTAGAGATTATATGATTAGTATTGACCCACAATATTAAAACAGTAAATTACTTATAGAGTGGGCAAGACTACGGTACGGGAAATTGGATAAGTTAATAAATCAAAATTAATGGATGTCTGGAACAATTATAGTCATTAGTGGAACTACAGTCATTCTAAATATGTAAAGGGAAGTCCATAAAAACTAATAATGTTACTGTGGAAGGGGATTTCTTGGGACACAGCAGAGATACAGGCAACACCAGAACCCACGCTAGGTATTGAAGAGGGGCCTCCAGTATGGGTACGCCTGTGAATGGGGGGCATTGCTCCCCGTGGCTTTCTTTAGGCTGCCTGGACAAACTGCATCCATGTTCCTCAGCCCTTCTCATGATGGACTAAAAGAGAAGGGAAAGAGCCCTGCTAAATTCAGTGGTGAAGCCTTCATCAACGTGAGTGGAATGACACACTTGGTATCAGACTATGAAATCTTACATATACCTAGGAGGTTTCTACCCGTGGAAGGGAGAAGGGCTTGCAGGCACAATATGAAATAATTCCACTGCTAAGCACACAGTACTTTGTACTCGAATCAGGAGACCTTCTTGCTTTTCTGTGTGAAGGCCCAGGTCCTGGTCACCTCTGCAAACCCGAGCAGCTGGCCTCTGAACTGTCAGGACAGGCACACAGGACATACCCAGGACTATTTCTGAGTACAGAGAGAAACACAAACCTGAACCTAAAACAGGGTAGAGGAGGTGATATGCTCTGCATTTGATCACTCTTATTCATGTCACACCACATTGTTAGCGTATGTGAAAATGCAGTGAAGCGTTAACACACAATAACCAGGAAACTGAAGATCTCCAGCCATTTTGTGTCCAGAAGCAAAGTTGTATTCTGTTACTGAGGCAGATTTAATCAACAGGAACCAGTGCTGGAGGGCAGTAACAGATAAGCAAAGAAATTAGTCCCAGAGTCGTTGTAATTAAAAACATCTGGGTGATGTCAGCCTGCCTACAAGGCCATTTTCATTAAGAGTTTGTGAGCACTCCTAAAATCCTCTTACTAATTGGCAACATCAAGCCCCTGCATTACATGCCACACTTTTTTTTTTCTTTTTTTTTTTTTTTTTCTGAGTGTGTGTATCCGTGTCTGTGTGATGTTTATGGGCTTGAGTATCCCCACAAATACTGTTTCCCTTTTTTTAAATGTTGGAAAAGCAACGCCACTTAGGAATTTACAAGGACAAATCGATGGTCAGACCCGAGAGCAGATGGAAACATTTAACAAATTTCTATATCCATTGGAGAGTCTTACCACAGATGTATCTTAAGGAGAGACATCAGCCAAGCCTTTATTTGGACACAGGGAAATGGTCTTTTATGTGAGATTTTTCTTTTTGCTGACTTGGTGGAAGCAAAGGAGCTGTATTTCTACTGACAGGTGGGCTGCTAGCAGGGCTGAGCACAGGATGGGGCATCCAGCAGGTGCTCGTGGTAACTGGCAACTCTCTGCTCTTCTCCAGGATGGGGAAATAAAGGGTTGGCTGGATTGGCCAATGTGGGAAAGATCAGTACGACTTTCTGATGAGGAAGGACTAATATCCTTATTGGCCAAAAGGGCTTTTTACTGTTGTTTTAAATTGTTTAATTGATGAACAACCATGAATATTATCATTCATAGGTTTGGCAACTTGCATTGCCCCCACCAATAGGTGAACTTCACAGCATATTGGCTTGTTTTACAGTCTGAGTGAGAGTCATCCTCGTTAATTTTAATGAGAGGTTGCCAAATCAAAGAGTGTTGGGGTCTTTTTAAGGTGCTCTCCATGTTATTTTATGGGATTCGATGTGGGGTTGCAGGGGAATGGCTGCTTCAACAAAAACTTGCTGCTGCTACAAAGATTGGTATGGAAGGGGCGTTAAGGGGGCCTGTGAGCAGGACATATTTTACAACAAAACATGACCAGCATCTCCATTAATGGACTGGTGTGGGAAATTTCGGCTGCACTAAAATTAACCTGTATTGTTTAAGCATTTTATCAGACTGATCTAATCTCCATTGTCAGGCATTTATAACATTACTGTAGTGGTGGTATCTATGCATGCTATAAAACTTTCTAAAACTGCAAATGTTTTATGCTAGAAAGTGAGTTTTCTCTGAGTAAATGTCTCTGGAGCAGAGAGTACTTGTGCTGTCTTTGTTGTACAGAAGAATATAATTTTTTTTTTCTTTTAGGGTGAGGCCGCTGTAATAAATCCCCAGCTTGTTGCAACTGACTTTATGTCTGTGTACAGCAAACAACGTCATCCTTGCACCCAGCTCTTTAGGGAGCAGCCTCTGGTACGTGCTGCATACATTGCTCCCCTCCAGAGGTGCTGTGCTGTGGCTGCCCCAGCCCCGGCCACATCTTGCAGCTCTTCAGCAAGCCCTCCGGCTATGCACGCCAAAACTGCCGCAGGAAGAAAAAAAGAAGAAAATAGCTGCCTCTCTGTAGATGTTTTAAACAAAAGAGAAGAGCCATGCTCTGACCTCGCTGCTGCAATGTGCTCACCATATTGTTTCCATCAGCCCCAGCGAGGCTGTGTTTTATGAAGCGCACAAATAGCAATCCCAGTAGCAGGGGCTGTTCTGGAGATACTTTTGGCTATTTTGGAGATACTTTTTCCTTTTTTTTTATTATTTTTTTTCCCCAGCATGCAGTGTCTTGAAAACATTTTTTTTTTTTTTTTTCTTTTTCTACATAGCAAATAGATTTTTGTGTCTTAGGAATACACTAGGAGTGAAAGCTGGCCGGGCATTACCAACGCCCAGCTTTACAAGCTCAGATAGGATCAGACTGTGCCATCCACACTCAGATCCTGCCCGTGCATGCTGCAGGAAAGCCATCTCCTTCTCTCCAGAGAAGCTGGAGATCTTCAGAAGCTAGGGTGCTGATTGCCCCCTGTTCTGCCCGCTCCCAATGCGTTTTTCTCTGGGTATCCCCATAGTTTGCTTGCTTGCTTTGCAAATTATTTTGTACAGCTTACACCACTAATAAAAGGGTGTTGTGCAAGGCCTGGCTTTTAGAAGAAAAGCAGACTGGCTTTGCAGCCTGCTGCCAGCCCTACCCACCACAGCACTTTCGGCTTTAAAAGACTTTATCCAGTCAAACACCACTGACAGGTCATATTTCGAGGAAGCGAGCCAAAAATGTTTTCACTGTTTGGTTGGGTAAATTCGAGCACCTTAACCCCTGGAGCACCCTCCTCACCTGCTCCCTCTGCCTTTTAAAATCGTTTCTGTGCAGGATGAAGCACAGCTCGGCTGTTTGTGCACTGAAACGTGAGTAAAATGCTGCATTTTCCATGGCATTACAAATAGATAAACAATCACCTGGTAAAGATAACTGGGAGGAAAGAGGGACAGACCCCCCCAAAGGTGACTTTTATTAATATCTGCAGGCTCTGGTGCTACTGTTCCCCCCTTGTAATAATGCTTTTTATCCAAAATGGAAAGGCAGGGGCCTGGTGCTGCCCTCCACTGCCACCGGCAAGATGGGGGCACCCCAGGCCTGGGCCTGGCGGAGGCCGCCATTTTGTGCGCCACAGAGCTGAGCAGTAAACACAGTCCCTGGGGGGGGGGGGGGGGGGGGAGGGAACTCTCAGCTGGTGCAAATTATCACAGCAATTAATGCGCTGTTTTTGTAAGTATGACAATTTACACCAGATGATAATCTTCCCCCTGGCCTGAAAGAATTACCAATTTTAGCACATGATCCGATAAAGCCAGCTACAATCGCAAACCGCTGTGACTTACATGCACTGGTAAAAAACCACTTTTCTTCCACGTTTGTTTGAACTGAGAGCATTAAATGCAACATTTACCTTCTTCCCCTTCCCTATGGTGTGCACCTGCTGAGCACCCACCCTGCAGGTGCTGCTGTCAGATTTTGGGTGTTGCTCTCCTATCTGAGAGCCCTCTCAGCGTAACTGAGGATAATGTGGCTGGGCAAGAGTGGTCTGTGCCCTGAGGTTCTTCTTGTGCTGGTTTGTTACCCTGTGCCATAGGGGTTTGTTGCTCTGAGGAGTGGATTTATTTATTTATTTATTTATTTTGATCTTGTTCTAAGGATTTGGCTAAAAGTAGCTGCGGTTGCTGACTTGAAGAGTCTTTGCAGGGATCTTTGGAAATGGGACAGCAATCCAGATTTGCAGAGTTGTAGTCAAAGGTGTATTTCCTTGCCTGAAGGATGAGGAATAACAAGGTCAGCAGGAAATCCTCCTTGAACCCTCACCTCTGCATGAGGCCTGATGCTTCAGGGGTGTCCTCATCCATTTCCTTAAGGCCGGTAAGCCCTTATCCATTATTACTTTTTTTTTTTTTTTTTTTTTTTATGCTCCACTTGGGCTTTGGTGCATGTAAGACCACCAATGTGGTCTACTCCATCACCACTGTCTTGCTAGAGGCAGAGCTGAAGGCTGTTAGGGAACTATAAATTTTTTAAGATGCATGTATAGCTTCAACAACATCTACGTGAGGAATTTGAGGATTTGTCTGTGGATTTAGGTACCTAAATTGTTATTTTATTACTATCTAAGTGGTGTATGTAGTTGGGTGTGGGATGCTGTTGTCCCTCTTGTATACATACACGTTTAAGCCTATGCATTACACTGCTGCAGCTCACAGGAAGGAGGGCTGCTCACACGTACTGTACATCTAACACAGATGTGCACTAGGCTGGATCCAGGTCTGAATTTTAGCCTGGAGGTGTTCCAGATGCTTCTGCTGTTACATGTGTGCAATGGAAACAGGATTTCTCTAGCTGGTTAAGCACTTTTGGATTCTGCAGGATGTAGACATTACTGTTATAATAATGGTTATGGTAATTTCCAAGGTAGGTGATAAATCTATCACTTAACGCATCTATTCCTTAATTAGACAGTAAGGATAATGTCACTATTTGGAGTAGAAGGAAATGCAAGTGAGATCAGCATTTAAAATCTAAAATTCAAATGATTCTTTTCTTTGTAAGGATAAGGGGGATTGTTTAAAAATAATCAACTGTGGTGATTTATATGGCATCCTGTTGTCTTATAAAAAGCACAGATTAAAATTGCAGAAGCTTTAATGGACCCAATGGAGAAAAGTCTTAACTTTAATCCTAGCAGACATTTTAAAACCATGAGAAGATACCGAGTATAGATTTTAAAAAGGCAAAACAAAATGCTTAACTTTCAGCAGTTAACAAAAGGCAACTCCGATAACAGAAAGCTACCTAACTCCGAGGAAAGAGTGCAAGTCATCACTGCAGCCCAATTAAATGATGGTGAGACCCAGTGGGGAACCGTGGGTGGCAGATGTGAACAGGGATTCTTAGGGTTGATGGAGCATTGGACATCCTCCAGGAGAGGAAGCTGGCTGGCTGAGTAGCCTGTGGTCAGTGATTTACTGCTCAGGCTGATGACTGGGTTCACATCTCCAGGGCTATAAAAAGAAACCAGAGCTGTGGTCTCTTACTGTCTGGGTGAGCAAGCCAGGAAGAAGCTCAGGGATGAGAGGAAGGAGATGACTTTCTGCTCCTTTGAATGTATTTGATATATTTGCTTGTAAGGTGTGCTTTGAGGAAGCCCAGGGCTATGGGAGGAGACCACAGGCAGGAGAAGCTATGCATGTCCCTGCAATGCTGAAGCATGGGCCAAAGCAGTTTGGGAAGGTGGCTTGACTCATACAGTTTTTTACTATGATGGATAGCTGGGCATGCTCTGTATCTTTGTCCCATCTCCTTCATTTTCATTTACTGAAAATAGTTCTTTTGTACAGACCTCACAGTTAACTTTCTGTGTCAGGAAGCTTTCCAGGTGCTGGCTTAGAGACCAACAGCCCATGAGCCTGGGGCCTTCATAAAGAGCTCTGCAGTCTTTTCTGAGGCTTCTGGATTAGTATTATTAGTACTGCACACTTTGCATCAAACCTATGTGAGCTCCTCTCTCAAAGGGCCTTAGAACACGGAATAAATTACAGTTTTTGCAGGAAAAGGGAACAAGTCAGTCAGTTTAAAATTTCACACAGTTAGCTTGCAGAGTCTCTGCTAGGGCTATACAACTTTTTATTCCGTGAACTTTTAAGAGGATATGTTTGAAGCTGGGCTGCCACTGTAGTTCATCCCTTCCTGCCTTATTTTTCGCTGCTGGTACTTTTTCCTTTCAATTAAAGTGCTTTTTACACCAAAATCAATAGAGTTGGACTCCGAGTACACCTGATGTAACAGGTAGCTTTAAGGAAAAATAGGTTTGCATTTAGGGTATTTTTAGCTGATTTGCACCATAACAAGCAGCTTCTGTCTGTGGTCCTAAATGTGAGTGATAGGGGGTTTGTCACTCAGAGTCTTATCTGATGCAGAAGATTTCCTCCATCTGGAGCTTCTCTGTTCTGCCAAGTTTCATCCCTCCACAGAGAAGCTAGGAGGATTGGATTGTTAATTAATAATATCCTAAGGATATTGTCTTAAGCCTCACGCTGTCAGTGCAGTAAAACAGAGCACTGATTTACTGAGTTATTTCTTTTTTTTTGCCTGCCTTAAAAGGTTACTTCTTTTTTTTTTTTTAACATCAACAACAAAAAAAAAAGATTGTAGTTGCCACTACAACTTTGTTTATGGTGGCAAAACCTAGACATAGTGAAACTGCTGCATGTGCTGGAGGGAGGGAAAACCCCTGTCTTCCCCCCTCTGCCAGGAACGGAGTGTATATAAAACTGATAAGCTCGTTTAAGTTAAAAAAAAAAACACAAACTAGGCTGAAAAGAGTGTGCAGCACTTCCTAAACAGCAGTTCCCTGAGATCCTAGGTGGCCTTGGTGTGCTGGCTGGGATGGATGTGTCTGTGGAGCTGTGGGAGGAGATGGGCATGGCTGGTGTTCCCCAGCACCCCCAGACACTGACTTCTAATTTTCTTTTTTTTTTTTTAGGGGAGCTACTTTTAACTTATATCAGCTTAACACAGATCAAATTTGGGATGGATATGTCAATCAATCCACAGACCACTGTCCTGATGAGGAATGAGTTGCTCAGACCTGCTTGTGCTCATTTCATACACCGAGATAATCACCTTGCATGCAGGTGAGGGTATTAGAAAAGGAAAATCAACAAGACACATCAGAGGTGCTGTTCAGGTATAAAGTCCCTATCGTTTTCTTGACTCAGATTCCGCAATTACCAAAAATTAGCCCATTATATGCTCGTGGTCCTTTCAAACCGGAGGGTAGCCCTGTGGGCAGGGAGCGTGGTGACAATGTGAGCCTTGGTGTGTGTTCAAACACTGCCCGACAGAATTAAACCTCGGACTCCTCCAGCCCCCACATCTCCATTCAGGAGCCCGACAACAGCAGCAGCCTTACTTTAGTACAGATTGAAGTGCATTTTCCTGTCTTCCAGCTTTTCTTCGCCGTTTGCTGGAGAGATCCAGATGTTTTTTGTTTTGTTTTTTTGGTTGATGGAGGTGGCTGGGGAGATCCTCTTGTTGCTGCGGTCTCTCCTGTGGCCAGCTGTGCGTGCTGGGTGTCACCGCAGCCCCGTCAGGTGCAGCAGGGCTGCCACCACAGTGATGCTGTCTGACTTTCACACAGCTGGAGGCAGGGGGACAACAGGGTCCTGGGGCCGCTCCAGCAGTGGGTTAATCTGTCCTGACAGCAGAGCTGTCGAGACATCTTTGCCTAATGCGCCTGGGGATAATTGGGTTTAGCACTCAGGGCCAAGGCGTGAACCCTGGGGCAAAGGGATGGATAATTGGGATTTCCCCCCTGTGGGGATAAAAGCTCCTCAGCTTCTTGCACAGCGTTTGGGGTGATGAGCCAGAACTTACAGACCCATCCTCGCAGGGAAGACCCTTTCAGTATCACCCTCTCTTTGTTGACTTTGATATAAAACTATATCAAAATCACATTGATATCAAACTTTTTTTTTTTTTTAAATTGTAGTCTTATATGGCATTTCTAACCATCCTTATGAAATAACAATAATAAAAGTTACCAAAGTCGTAGTGGAAAGATGAAACATAATTATAGCAAAAAGTAATTTAAAATGCAAATTTGCCAGAGAAACTGGAGAAAAAACACCCTACTAATAATCCAACCCTAATTGCAGTGCTTTCTCTCATCGTCACTTCAGAAGCTCGGCGTGTTACCTCCCTCCCTTCGGGACGGCCTCAGCCGCGGCTGTGCTGCCACACTCTGACCTCTCCAGCGAAATACGTTTGACCCGAAATAAAATGGATGAGAGAGGGGAAGGAGGCAGCCAAACGCAGCAGGTTCCCACTCGCTTGGTCTTTGCCAGATGGGCACGTGGCCACCGCTTGTCCATCGAAGGTGTCCTCAAGGATGTCACGGAGGCAACCGCGCCTTGTGGTCTGGGTGAGGCTGGCCTGTCTTGTACATTTGGGTGGATTCTGGGGCTGTTTGCACCCGAGGTGCCTTGAGGCTTTCTGAAAGGCAGCGGGGTTGTTTCAGCAGCAATGAGCACAGTGGGACGGACTGGCCCCAAAGCAGCGTTTTCACTGTCAAGGTCACCTGAGGGGTGGCACCAATCACTTGGTGACCCCTCCTCAAGGTGCACCGGGGCACCACGAGGGTTTAGATGCCTCAACGCTGGCTCCTGGGGCTGAGCTGTTGCTGTAAGACCTCGCTGTGCTTTGAAGCAGCATGGGATGGGGTTCTTCAGGGTGGCTGCTGGCCTCACCTGGGGGGCACCTGGGACAAAGCCGGTCCCAGGCTGTGGTGCTCTTGGTTGGTGCTTCCTTGAACAACATCTCGTGTTTTCTCTGGAAATCCTAGCACAATACCACTTGCATCGTGACCTAATGATGTGGTGTAATTTGGTACATTGTTCCTACTGTTCCTGTGCCCCCAAAGCACTCCTAGGAAAGTTTTTATAGGGTTGAAGTGCAAGATATCCTATACACCTCTGGTGGCAGTGGGTGCTTGCACTCGCACTGGCTGTGATTCGACCCAAATTCTGGCGCTGCAGGTTAGGGACTTGAAGGCAGGTGAGGGAGCTGCATCCACTGGCCAGGGCTTGACAGCAGCAGGGCTGAGCAAAGGTTATTTATTTCCATGTAGCAGCATCGTAATGAAAAACTTATTGCCTCTGACAGGAGAGGAGCTCACCTGGCTCCTTCCCTGCTGATGGATGGGAAGGGGAATGAGCTTTTACTTGCCTGCAGAGAAGAAAAATCCCCAAAGAAGCCCAGACCAAGCTCTCCTTGTTCAAAGGGCTGCCAGGAGCTCTTACAGACATTTTGGGGATGGGGCACTGCCGAAGTAGCGATGGTCTGAGCGGAGGCATGCTGTAAAATGGGAATGTTTTCTAAATGGTTTCTTTTAAAGCAGAGCTGAGTGGTGAGTGGGAACGCTTCCCTGCAGGCTGGCAGAAGGACACAGTTGGTATCACACGTTTTAGCAGCTGGCATGTTAATGAGGCCATTTTTATTGAAATGAGCTAAATACTATTAACATTTGTGGACTCCCAACTGATTTCTGAAGCATTTATTGAACTTCAAAAAGTGCTTCAAGAATCAATTAAAAATAATTTTTTAGATTTGATAGAAAGAAGACCAAAGAATATTCTGCAGTCACATTTACACTTATCTGAACACATCTTACCTTTGTGTAGCTGACTTGAAACAGTTTCTTCTTTTTTTTTTTTATTTTTTTCCTTTCTTTCTGTGCTCTAAATAATGCTTAAAAATAGGTCTTCTGAGAAACCGACAAGGTAGTTTGTAGCCAATGTGACTTTGGTGGGTCCAAGTCTCCTGTGCAGGAGGATGGTCAGTGTGTAGTTGAATGTACGGCTTCCACCATACAGTGATTGCACTCGGCTATCTTTGCCGGTGGATTTAAAAGAGATTGGATTATTTGTTATTAAATTAAGTATAAACATTCAGAATAAAATATTATATTAATATTTTAATTATGAAAAGTAAAAGCAGCAGAGAGCTGCCTGTCCTGGTGTTGCAGGAGGAGCGGACAGCAAGCAGTATCTCCTGTTCCTCCTCTCCCCAGGCAGGTCTGGAGACCCACACCGAACCCCACCACGGCATGGGGTGGTGAAATGTTCTCTGCTCCTCTGCTGTCTCCACTGACTGCCTGAGAGCTGCAGCCAGCCCAATATTTGAAGTGCTGTGACAGTCATATCGCTGCTTCTGGTTCTTACCTCGTCTCAAACTTAGCAATTATTGGCCACTATGATTATTTTTTCATCAGCTTCCTTGAAGGAGAAAAAGCAACCTCCCTCCCCCCCTTCAAAAAGAAAAAAAAAAAACAACAAAACAAAACAAAAAAACCCACAAGCAAAAGAAACACACAAAGAATACACATCACATACAAAAATAAACCAATATGCATAAAGAGAGGTACTTGTGTAAATACACCTAGAAGTGGTTGATTTTTTTCCTCCTCTTTCCTCATTCAACTCAAATCCTTTCCCAAACATTAAAAACAGACTGGTCTGAAGGAGAGAGAAGGAAAGCAGCAGAAGCATGCTGCCACTCGGGTGCCTGTAACATCAACCCTGCGTGTCCCCAGCTCTCCGAGCAGCTACCCGGCCAGTATCCCTGTGATAGGAGTGTGCCCCAGGATCATTCCGAATAACCAGAAATCTTCATCTGACTTTTTTGGGGGGCAGGTTCACATTATTCACTAAATTTGTAGGATGGTGGCAGCTAGCATCTAAGTCTGCTCAATGAGGACCCCGAGTACTCAACGGGGTCAAGGGCTGGGAAGTGATTTGGGGTACGCAGGCAGCACAAACCCAACTGGTCATGGGTTTTGTTGCTTTGGTCATGGTCATGTTGCTTTGAATATTGCATAAGTGACTTCAGTGATAGGTCTCTTTGGATGCTGGACAGTTTTATGGCAGCTCTGCCCTGAAAGCTTTACATGCCAGGGTCCTCGTGGGGTGACCACCTGAAGGTGGTCACCGTCACTAAAATTAACAGTGCTGTTCGATTGGGGTGGGGTTGGTCCCAGTGGTTAACTGTGCAAGAGCCTGCTGGAAAAAAGAAGCAGCTGAAAACCTGAAGTCAGCAAAAGAATAGGGCAAACGACCGATAGGTGTCTGGGCTCCTCTTCCCAGCTTGGCCAAGAGGACCTCTGCAGAAGCCCCTCAGCCTCCCTAAAAAAAAAAAAAAGGCACATGAAATGGAGAGAAGAGTGATTTAAAGATACAAGACAAATGCAAGAGTATTTGTCTGAGCTCTGCTCTCTGACGTTGCAGAGTGGTCAAAACGAGGAGGGAAAAGGTTGAATGCTTTTAGTGCTTAAATAATTAATTCTTGGCACAAATGAAGCGTAAGGACTGATGGGGACCAGACCCAGCGCTGCCTGTGTAGCAAGTGGGCACAATTAGATGAGCAAAACCAGGTAATGGGGAACTCTTAGGTTTAGTTCATTTGTGCCAAAGGTCCTCGAAATCCTGTGATGGTGCCGTAGCACCATCCCCTTCCTCGCCCCTACCCCCCAGAAAATAATAGTGGAAAAAATGCAGCTTTAAACAGAAATCTCTTTGCCTTTGGAATTGCATTAACAAAAAAAAAAAAAAAAAAAAAAGGCATGACTGAGTAAACATGAACTGAAAGGGCTGAATTTATCCTTCCTGTAAGTTTGGCAGAGCTGGCGCTATGGTCCGTGTCCGTGCGGGTGAAGTCATCCTGACTGGTGAGGGGGATGGCTTTGTAGTAGATGGCTGTAAATGTTTGCAGATATTCTGCTCTGCCACCAGAAGCATATTGCTGTTGTGCAGGTTTTCAGTGCCGTGTGTCACATAAAACACAGAAATAGGACAAAGGAAGCTCTGTTTGGTTAAATGACCACATACTGAGCATTTGTCATAAACACAGTTTTGTAAGGCATTGGGAAACTGCTATCACTTACGTTTTAAGAGCTTACTTGTAGACCAGCAGTCTCTAGGAAAACACAGTTTGAATCTTCTATTTTTTTGCAATGGGGTAGTTTAAAGGGTTGGTTTGGGTGAATTTTTGCTTTGTGATTCACTGTTCTGGATCGTAAGCAAAGTTATTGTTGTGCTGCTGTTTCTTCAGGAACGGTATTGCTATTTTTTACTTCCCTGTGAATGGCAATAACATAAAGAAAGCTGGCATCAAGGATTGTGTTTTATAAGAAAAGAAAGAGGAAAGATGAAACGGCTACATATGGCAACATGGACAGTTTCCAACTGAATGGGGAAAAAAAGAGTCCGATTTTTGCAGCATATACAGAGAATTGAACTGTATTTTTATGCAAATGCTTTAGAAAATGCAGCTCAGCAAAGGCTCTTTTCCTGCCATTGGCTGGGAAGCATTTTGAGCGCCTAAAGACTCGTGTTTTCCACAAGAACTTCATGAGAAAGAATATAAAGAGGTAATAGAGCGTCTAAAAACATTATGCCTACCACAGTTGTGTTTTTTTTTTTTTTTTTATACTGAAGTTTCATCTCAAGAGTCAGCTAAGAGGAGGAAGCACTGCCGTGCCCTTGACAAGCCCAACTAGTGATTGTTCCTCGCTGTTTTAACGTTTTTGTTGAGAAATGCAGGTCAAGAGCAGTTTGTTTGTGGAGTAAAAGACAAGGAAGACGGTGCTTGTTTGATGGCCCTGCTGCCAGCAGAACCCCCTGACCTAAAAACCCTTTGGGACAGCACAACCTGGATGCAATATTGGCATGTGGATGAGCGTGGCCCCAAATTAGGATGCTCCTTGGAGGAAGGGCTTAAGGAGCTGGGCCTCTCTACCAGCATGGGTGGGATGGGCAGACCTCCCAAGTGCTCTGTTCATATGAAAATAAATCACGCGGCGTTAAGCCAGGCAGTGTGTGCAGGGTGCCTGAGGGCATGTATCAAAGAAAATTTTCTAAAACAAGCCCGAAGGAAATAAACTTGCTTTTGCAGCCTTCCAGAAGGGGACACAAGAGGAGTCTTAGGCTGCCTGGCTGTCACTGTAACTTCTCCGTGTATCTGTTTGCCATTAGAGTTAATTGTGACTGAAGGAGATGCTCTCCTGCGGGTAGGCAGAAAGTGGCAATATATAAGCACGAAGCAGACAGAGGAGCGGCAGGCGAGAGCCCTCGCAGAGGAAGGGAGCTGGTGGGTGAAATATAGAGCTGTGCTTAGCGCTGACACTTGTTTTATATGCAGTGCACCAGGAAGGCTAGAGGTGGCTGGCCATGCCATTTCTCAGCGCCGGGTGAAGCATGGATGCAGGGCACGACTCCATCCGTGGAAGCCAGGAGGGGATGGCACCAGATCGCCTCTGGTTGTGGTAAGCTGCTAGGGTTTAAAAGTTAGCTCCAAACATATTAGATTTGAATAGCTGGACGTCTGCCTGCTTTAAAAGAAAAAGAAGAGTGAAATTAGGTATTCTGACAAACAGTTTGAGCCCTTCTATATGTTTTAATTTTTAGCATTAACTTCAGGGCCCTTCCTGTAATTTCAAACATCTATAAAGAGATGAGTGGAAAAAAAAAAACAAAAACATATCGTCATCTTACAGAGTACATTCAAAGCTGGCCGGCATTCCTCTTAAATAACACTGCTGTGCCTCCCTCCTACCACCACGTTTGTCCATCGTTTGTGGATAAGTGTTAAAATGAGCTGTTGGGATGAAAATGTCCTCATCGCAGATCCAAAGCTGCTACTAGAAACACTGAGGCTGAGAATGTGCATTTCTCTGCCGGCAGCATTTTACCAAAATACTTTCTGTAGTTTCTCAAAAATGCTTTCCTGTACTCACAGAGGTGGGAAGCAATTGAGTGTGTATTTTCTTTCCTACAGTCTCTTTCTTAATACTGCTGAAGAAATTGTTCTGGAAAGAAGAGAGAACCTTATTTTGGTTATAGGTGCACACTTCAGGGATGCCCACGTTACATCACCAGCGGCCAGCTTAAGCCAGAGGGCTTTTAAAAACCTGACCTTTTCTTTGGTTCTTTGCCATGGAGAATGCTAGGGGCAATGAAGGAAGCTTACAAAGAGCCATACCCTTGTAATTACCTGAGTAGCACCAAGGGATCATTACATTCATCCCATCCTTGCAGCAGCGGAGGGACGTGTTGGCGCAGGGCATGCTGCCACGTGTCGAATTTGCAGGGGTGAGAAAAGCCAATGCTGTGTGGGTGGTGGCTGCTACACATTGCTGATGGCAGGAGTCGCACCAGAGGAGCTGAGGATGTGTTTAAGGCAAAATTTGCTGGCAACAGCCACAGTCCCAATGCCGAATGCAGTCCTGGGCAGGGGGAGAGCCCTGCTTCGGTGCTCTGCAGCTCTCCTCGGCTCCCCGGGTATCTCATGGTGCATTCCCCAGGCTGAAATCAAGCAGGTTCAAAGCCTTGGAGAGAAAACCAGCAATTTCTGCACTGGGCGGACTGTGCGTGTGTGCGTGTGGTGTGATGGGATGGGTAATTTGGGGAAAAGGCGTGGTAAACATTTCAGTGATGGTGGCTAATTAAATAGAGGCTGAAGAAGGTGTGATGAAAAGACACACTAGTGGATTGCCTACGTAGAAGCTTAGAGCAGAGGTAATACATGGCCCCAGAAGTTAATATAAATGGCTTAATATTTTCAGATTTTGTGTCAGGCAGTGATAACCAAAAGAAGAGGATAGGAAAACATGCCAATCTCGGGAGGAATGAAGAACAAGGAAAAAAAAAAAGCAGGCATCGGACTCTCCCTGCTGAGCGCCATTGACCACTGAATTCAGAGAGCTCCCACAAGGTCAGACTTGTGATTTATTTCATACTGGGGATACCATTTGGGGCAATACACCAAGGAGAAGTGTGCTATATTGACAAGCTGTGCTGATGCTTTAAAGCTTAAGGTGTTGCTGATTTCCAGCCTGCTGGGTAAAGAGGCTAAGATTTTGTGCTTCGTTTCAATCGTGATTACAGCACGATGGGCTGATGGTCTTTCTGAGGTTGCTTCTTCACAAGAGTCACTGTTTTTTATCTTTCTCATGTATATCAGCCACGTAACTGTTTGGAAATAGCCTTTAGAAATGAGAATGAAGGAAAACTGCAAAGATTAGTACTTGAACACTTGTATGGACTATCTCTGTAAGTCCTGGAGTTGTCTGCACCTTCACCACTGCCAAATCCCAAGCTGAAGGGGGCAAGAGCATTTCTGGAAGCCCCAGCTCTGGGATTCCTGCAATTCTTGCTTTCCATTAAAAGAACAGGTTTCCAGCTGCTGTGATTGCAAAGAAAAGGTTGAAAATGTAAGCCTAAGTATGCAAAAGCAACAGATGCAACTATAAAAAATATGATTTTTTTTTCCATTTAGTCCTGTTTTGAACTACTCCTCCTTTCTCCAGGCAGCTGATTCATTCTTTTGAATAGATTGTGTTGGCAATACTGTGTTTTTGTTCCCCAAGGGATAACTTCAGAGCTTTGCTTTCAAAACCACTTTGCCCAGTTTAGACATCTCTTAGAAAAACTAAATGAGAAGGAATTTGTAAGAAAAATTAATGATCTGCTACATAAATTTTTCACAACCTCGCACACGGATGGAGTGGGTTTGTAGAGTTACAGAACTGCGGTGACTAATAATAGTAATAAAGGGTCTGATTGTATCATGTGGTTAAAGATAGTCATAATACTCTAATTGTCTTTGCAGTTTTCCCACTCCTTGCTGTGACATCAGCCCATCCCCAGACCATTACATCCTGCTCATGGCTCTTCTTTGTTGATAAATAATGAGTCATTATATGCCTCGCTCTATGACTTGCACAGCTGTATTGCCAAATTTTCCTCTCTGCAGAATGAATCCCCCTTTCCAAGGGGGATTTAGTGTGCCTTTAAAATGGCAAAGTTTATCTGGCAACACACGTGCCCTTTAGCAGAGGATGGACTGGGTGAAATAAGGCTCTTGCTGGATGTTTCGCACTGGGAGAAGGCTCACCTACAGTAAACTGTACGTTTTTATTAATGACTAAACACTGCCACTTTGCAAGCCACCACGTGCCAGGATTGGAGCTGGGAAATCCCAGGGCTGGGATTTCTGTGGACTTCCTTGTAGGGCATATCGAAGCCAAAGACTCCAGAGCCCTGCTGTGACTCAGGCATCTGAACTGCATGCTGTATCTCAGGATGCTTATGTGTAAACAGATACACAAGGACATTACATGTTTTATCCACAAACACAAAACTGAATTGGTAATACTGAAATCAAAACTTGTTCTACAGCCTGTTGCTAGCTACGTGACAATTAGGAAGCTCTCCTAAAAAATCTTGACATGAAGTCTAAAACAGATACTAATATGTATTAAAAAGCACAAGAAAGAGTTACAGTATTTTCCAAAATGACAAAAATACTTAGCACCCTTTGCTTTGACACTGAGAACATTCAAGAATGAAGGCTGTGTGAAGCCTGGCACTTTAAATAGTGGATTTGCGTAGTGGGAAGATAGTGGTTTTCTTTCATTCTAATTTAAAAATATGATCAAGCGTGTGGCACAGCAAACTTGCAGTGTTCAAGACCTGCTACGCTAATATGAATGGCTTGCCAACAGACAATGTTCAATGCAGGATGCCTGCTTTGTACAGATGACTTGGGGGAGATAGAGGAGTGAAGGGAAGACCCAAGGGTATACCAGATATTCAGTGAAGCAGGATATGCGATTCGTTTGTTTTTCCTTCCTCGCATTAATAAATCATGCTTCTCGTGCTTGCAAAGCAAAGGAAGGCCAAGAGAGAGGGTGGCCTGGGGAGCGGTGCTGAGTGTCCCTGGATGAAGGAGGGACAGGTGAAAACCAGAGCAAAGACTGGGGTTGCTGAGGTGCTGTGAGGCCAGGTGGATGGCCTCCAGCCCCTGCTCTTGTCTCTGTCTCCACGCTGTCCCTTTTTTCTTGCTAGATTTGGAGCCCCAAATCCGCCAGCTGTCCAACTAAAGCTCACCTCAAGCTGGCCTGGGGTGTGTGACAGGGCATCTCTCCCAACACACCTGCTGAAACCACAACACTCTGCCTTCACCAAAACGCCATTATTTCACAGAAAACCCTTCACCACTTGTGTACATGCTGCTTTCTGCCCCATGCCACAGCCTCCACATCCCAGCGGGGCTGGTGGCCACCACGAAGCCGTGCTGGTGGTGACACCAAACCTCCACTCCCTGGCCCCATTTTGGAGTTGTGCAGGGTCTGCGGGGCAGCGAGGCATCCTGAGGGCAGTGCGGTGTGCTCTCTGGGATAACGGAGGATTATAAATGATAATATAATGTGATAATATATGGTAATAATAATATAAATGATAAAACTCTGTGGGTCTTCCCTCCCAGCCATGCTGTGCGGCTGGGGGTTAAACCGCGATTACGCCCTGAACAGCCTAGTCACCGCCGTCTCTCTGCCCTTCCCCGGTTCTTATCCCCGAAAAGGGGCCAAAAAATCAAAAAATAAATAAAAAAAACCACAGCCCTTGAAGGATTTACACCGCGACACCCGGGCTCTCCTCAGCGGGCCGCGGGGCGCCGGGGCGGGGCGGGCGGCGATGGCGGCAGGGGGCGCTGCGGCCCCGCCGTTGCGGCGGCGCTGTGGCGGGGGCGGCGGGCGGCGTGATGCTAATTGGAGCCGACACGCGGCTCCTCCATCATCCCCCGGCAGCCCCCGCCGGCTCGCAGTGCCTGGGAGGCCGCCGCCGGGGAAGGTGTTGCCGCCGGGAGGCCGCCCCCAAGCCCGGGGCGAGGCTGTGGAGCCGCGCCGTGCTGTGTGGTGTGGTGTGGTGCCGGCCCGGCGGCCATGTTGGCCCCCAGCGGGCGGCTGTGGCGGCGGCCGCGCTCCCCCGGGGCGTGACGAAGCAGAAAGCCGCCGTGTGATAATTAAGCTGCCAGGTCCCGCCCGCTTTTTCTTGATAAAATCTAAATCCCGGGGGTTGCGTGCGCGCATCGCGGTTCACGTAAATATCAAAGGTCGGGGAGGTGCCGGCCCCGCGCCCCGCTGAGGTGAGGGGGGAACAGCTCTCCACAGCCGCCCCCCTGTCCCCAAACTGCGACCCCTGTGGCACCGAGTGGGGGCCCCAGGGGCTGTTTTGCCTCAGGGAGATGGTGGCAGCCCAGCTGGAGGGGATGGGAATAGTCCATAACGCTGATCCCCACCCAGCTTTACACCTGAAGCCTTTTTTGGAGGCAGTATTTAACCAGAGACTTCTTGCAGCTGGGCAATATTAGAGTGGGAAGGTGCCAAGTAACTGGGTGATGCCTCAAGCTTGTGTCTATCCATCTACCCGTACTTCTAGAAATAATATAAACGCCTTTTCAGGTTGTATCCGAGCTCCTTGATGTCGAGGAGGAGTTGGAGCACTCAGTGAGGCCACGCGTCAGTAGGAGAAGCTGCCAAGCGCCCGCTCATCCCTCCCATCGCACCCCTCCAGCAGCCTGTCTATGAGGTAGTTTTTGCTCTGTGCATGTTCTGAGGGAAGGTTTGTGGTGATTTTGCTCCTGGGCTGTGCAGGACCCCCAGGTTTTGCAGAATTTACATGCGATGTGTGTGTTTGGAAGGGCAGGACAGAGGAATCAGGGGCTGCTGGCTCTGGGTCCTTCTGTTCACAGCTGGCATTAGCAGATGAGCCCTGTCTGTCTCTTTATTCATGTAGAGACTTACATTTTCCAAGGCACAGGACACAAACTAGGCTTGCAAGGGGACTGCTTGCTTTTACAGGCTTGCCAGAATTGGGAATTTGAATTGATCAATCTCAGTCTTAAAGGTTTGGACTCTGAGGTTATTCCCACCCTCGTTTTAAACAGATGTAAATCCGGAGCTAACTCCACTGAAGGAAGAGTTATGCGGCACAAAGCCACTGTGCATGTCTGTGAGCAGGTACAGCTGACAGAAATAAAAATAATGAAGTAGTGGTGAATAAGCCGGGCACCTTACGTTCAGCCGTAATAAGCAGGGTATCTGAGAGGCAGATGTTCTCTGTCTTGCAAGTGCTAGTCTCTAGCTGAGCATGGCTGAGAAGGCAGTGAGGTCCCCTGAAGCCCTTGCGAGGCGTGAATGTATACACAGGTTTTAATGATGTCTTAGAGGCAGAGTCCCCACAATCTGATCCCTACATGCAGAATTACAGTATTAGATACACTGCCAGACAAGTGATAGGCATGAATTGGCTTTACAGAGATCGGCCATTACATGTCTCCTTGTGTCTACCATAAGCCATTAATCAAAGTTAATGGATGTACTCTTCTGCAGCTTTGTTCTCTCAGGGCAGATTTATAACCCCAGGTTGGTCCCGTAAGCACGGGTGCCGTACATTACACCTCCCGATGATGTCTAGTGCTAGAGTGCAACACGTAAAGGGCTCCTTTACAACTGATGGTGGAGTCATTTTTGACAGGACCGGGCAGCTCTACTGCCCAGGGAATGGTTGTGCGTTAGCAGGATGACAAAGACTAGGTTTCTCCTGCCCTTTCGCTTTAACACGCTCCCTGCTACCAGAGAATAGCTGTGTGCTGGACTGGGACCATGCTTCTCTGACCTTTGCATGAGCCCAAAACAAGCATGAGGAGAAACTCTTCACCCGGTCGCTGCTCCTCTGTTGTTACTGCTTGGACTTTAGGTAAGCCTGACCTCTAAGAATATTTCATTGTCAAATGCTTCTGTTTTTCTTCTTCCTGTGGCCACCTAGAGAAGACTGCTCATCTTATGCATTAGAGAGGTTTGCTGTACAGGAATTTTTTCCTGTTTTCTTTATTTAAATAGCCTTTTCTGTTTCTTTGTGTTGATTTCTTCTCTGGTGTGGTGCAGTCACCTAGAATGGAAGGCAAGGATGTATCTATTTATCTTTGCTGTTACACTGTCAAAGAACATCCACCATTCCCCCAACAAGAATTTTATTTATTTTTTTGTGTGTGCTTACTTTTGGATCTTCACTTGCACTCCAAGCCCCTGCACATTTTAATGCCTTCTTAGATATTCTCTTTTCAAAATCCATCAAGTTTTTGCTTCCTCCCCCCGCAAGCTCCTGCCTTTACCTTCTGGAGTTCTTTTTGAATTTCTTCTTTTTCATTCTGTGGCTGTTTGAAGTTCTGGTTCTGCTTTGTCATTGTGTCTCCCAGCGTCTTCATGTTGGCTGTCAGGTTCCTCTTCACAGATTCACTTTTTAGCCATCTCCTCCAATGCAAACATTGCCCAGACAAAGCTGCTGGTAAACTTTGAACGGGCTTGCTGTCTTCTAGTTGTGCTTCAGGGGTGTTTAGTTTGCCCATACCCTATAGCCTTTTCAGTTTGGAGCTGAGAATTACCTGGAGTAGGTCACTGCAGTGTGACAGGTTTTTGTTCTTTTTAATGTTCGTGTTTTTATTTTGTTTATTTTTTTTAAATAATTTTACATCTCTTTGCAAATGCTGTACAAGCTGAGTGTCATTCTGGGAACAGCACATCTTCTGTAGTGTTGCTACTCAGGGTATGGGCTCGTACACCTGCAAGTTCTGCACAGGTTTTGTATTCAGTAACTTAGTCTTTAATAACCTGTCCCTTAAAGCCTTGGTTGTCTAAGGAAAGTCTATGAAGATGGGTTAATAATCAACAGCTTGCATCACTGCTGTGGTCCATGGAAGCAAACTCTTTTGTGGATAGCAGTTAGTGGGATAGAGCATGGATACTGGGCAGTGCCTTGTTCTGCATGTAACAAAGGTCTGGAGGAAGGTTCTGCTGGAGCCAGTTGTGCTGTAGGAGCTCCTGAATCCAATTTTGCTGCTTGTGTGGAAATAAAGGAGCCAAGTACTAACCCAGCCAGTCCTGACAGAGCTGGTATGAAACCAATAATCACCGTGGTTTCCAAGTGTGCCCACTGCCAGCCACATCATATAAATAATGTGCTACATAGGCTTGCAGGAATGTGCTGGTGGCATTGCATGGACTTTACTGCCAGCAATGAAAATCCTTCTTTACCTTCCATTTCATACAGACACTGCAGCAGGACCAAAACACAAATCAACTTCTGAGTGAGTGTGGCTGTGATTTTACTCACAGGAGGACAAAATTAAGCATTGGGGTCAGTGCCTGCAGTGAGTAAGTGAGGTGATGAGTCTGCCCTTCAGAGGATAGCAGTTGGGTCTCTTCTACCTTTGTGGAAGAGTTGGGGAAAAAAAAATCCTCAATCACATTTTTTGATCCATAGTGACCAAGTAAATGAGTTTTCTAATTTGAAAACTTGATTCTTTCTCTGTTGGCAAAAGTCTGGTTACTGGATTTCTCTACTTCCAGTTCTTTCTGGAGGTGGACATAGGTGGGCAAAGCGTTATGAAGGGGTAGATTTGATGAAGAAAACAAACTTTTCAAGGAGACCTGATCTGTTTTGGTGTGACATGAAATTTGGTGAAGGCTTATTAAAAGTCAAAAAACAAAAAACATAAAAAAAAAAAAAAAAAAAAAAAACACAGAAAAGGAGAAAAGGTTTAAAAAATGATTTAATTTTGTATGTTTTTTTTTTTCCTTTTCAGGTCAAAAATAGAGAGTAGAAGGCTTTAATGTATTAAGGCAAACATTCCTCTCCTCCCCCCCCTTTTTTTCCTTAGCCATAATTTCCACCCCCCTTAGCTTTTATTTCAAGTAGATTCAACTGGAATTTTTTCTACCCATGATTGTTTTTTGTTTGGCCGTTGAACCAGATAATCCAATATTTGCACAGCTCTCCCTGGAGCTGCACAAAGAGGTAATGCTGTCACTATGATAGGTAGACCTCAGGAGATAGCGTGGAAACACAGGGTCTCCTAGCAGAAGCTCCCTGGCCTTTAAATGTTCACTCTCAGATCTTCAGGATTTCCCTGCAGATCTCTGGGCCGTGTTATATTAGAGGGGTTGAAGTGTTGAGGGGGCTACACTTTCCCAAAGGAAGCCAGAGGAAAAATGCTGTTGGCATGGAGTGCTTGGCCTGTTCATGAGTATTTTTCCCCCTAGGGAAAGATAAGGCTTCTAGTGCTAAATGGCAGGATTTATTCCTAGGTATGTTTGAGATTTATATTCTTTGTGTTTTGTTATTGTTCTGAAAACAGGGTTATTTATATACATATATACCCCTTGTCACTGGTTCTTGTGGAGGCTGATGTACCTCGTTTTGTTTGTACAAAAATATTTGTTCTTAATTAAACTCACCTCTTCCTGTTTGCACCAAAACATGAAAATTGCCTGACCCATGGAGCTGTCAGCTCGGACAGATGGCTTTTTCATGTCTAGCCGTTTGCATGTGGAGATTCAAAGTCTTACTACTCTCTCTTAGGCAGGTAGTTGTATAAATTATCGAAGCAAATGCCCACCGTTACACGCAGCTACAGAAGTAGGTTTCGTGCTTGTGAGATTTGTTTGCGCAAATACTCTAAGCCACCAAATTCTCCACCCAAACCTGCCACAGTTGCTCAGATCTTCCAGCAATTGCAGTCTAATTAGACCTGGCATTCAAAGTTGCCTCCAGCATTGGAAACAAAAGTAATTTAGTCGTAATAAAAGTGGTAGATTGACAGCTCTGGAGGCTGAACGCAGTTCATCTGCAAAACATACTCAAGGTGGGAAAGAGCTACAAGAATAGCCGCGGTGACTGTCTGAAGGGCTTGACCCCTGCCTTGAAATGACAACCTCCGAGGGATGAACATATGGGTAATTTTCTACAGGTCCCTCTACTGTCACTGCCAAGAGTGCTGCTAATTACTGACAATAATTAGTATATTGTCTGTAGTATGAATACTTTTCCACTAGGAAAAACACCTGATTCATTGTACGGCAGCCATCAAATGCCCATCGTGTAGTGACAGCGTTTAGTAAGTTAAGAATTATTCTGAATTTGAACCACAGCTGGTGAGGTGAAAGGCTTTATCCTATTACCAGTCCCCTGAATCATTCAGTCTACGGCGCGTGAGGCACAGGGCTGTGATTACCAATTCATTTCATAAAGGCCAACCGTTTAAAATTCTCTCAAACTAGCAGCTGCTTGAGGAATGAAAAAGCACTTGGGGCTGGACAAATATCTTTTTCTTCTTCTGGGTCAATTTAAAAGGAAAAACAACAATTCTTTCCCCTGACAAATGAGACTTTCAATCAGCATTGAGCTATCGCTGCAGAAGGGTAACCTGTCTTTGCTTACTTGACATATGGGATCCTTCCACTTCCAGAGGTGGAAGTCATGGTTAGGCTGAAGAGCACTTGACAAAATAAGTCGCTTCACGTTACCAATCCATAAGAGGAATCATTTGGGTTTAATGGGGAGAAAAGAATAGGCAATCCACCCACTTTAGTTGTTTCATGGTGCTGTTGAATTCGTTTATTGCTGTTGCTTATAACCACAGACAGAGGCGAGAAAGACTTGTCCTGCTTTCCCTTCTCTTCCCTTCCCTTCTGTGCATTGGTTTCTGTGCTCTGAAGTACTCATTTCTGATGTAGGAAGGACCACAAATGACTTCTGAAATCTGACAGATCTCCAGATGCTGAGTTAGAATGCTCCTCATTGCAGGAGGCAAACCTTAATGCAGTAGGCAGCAGGATTACGGGAGGTATATTTACCTTCAAGAATACTCATTTTCCCTTTCTAATTATCTCTTCATCTGCTGAGTCAGGAGGAAAATCAAAATCATTTCTGGTTTAGATTATGTTTTCCCAGGACTGACACGAGAATTCTGGGTGACATTCTCAAAAGCATTCAATTTAGACTATCAAGAGACTGTGGCTTTTAGGAGCATCTGTTCCTCGGACGTCTTTGGTACTGTTTCATAATGTCCCTATGGTTTGGAACAGGTAGAAGATCGCTGCCTTTGTCGCCATCAGTATAGGGTAAGATCGTCATTGATGCTTTCAGATGAGGCTTTGAAAATGACGATTTCATACATTATAACTGGAAACCAAGTTGTCGATGAGACGTGTTTCAAAAGAGTAAGAGTTTGCACTAATATTTCCACTATACTTTTTTTATTTGTCTCTCTGCAGTCTATTTTCCTGATAACCACAAACTACTGCAGAAGAGGAGGAAGGTGGTTTGTGTGTGTGTGTAAGGCATTTCATTTTTGTTCAGGGCAGTTGGGGTTGTTTTCTTCTTTTCTACAACATTCCAGGGTGATCTTCAAATTCCTGTTCCCCGTTTGAAAATCGACTGTAAGCAAGAGGCTTTTCTGCCTGCTTCATTGGTCTGTTCTGCGCAGCCTACGAGCGGTTTCAGACAGAGGCTTGCTCTCCTTCCAGAAACATGACCGCTTCCAGTCTGCATGCTTTAATGATCTAGAAATACCGTGCTGTCGCGCTCACTGGCCACTTCTGATGTGGACCAATTGTACCATACCCACAGAGACATGCGCTGCGTGTCCTTTTCTCATCTGCCTCTGTTCCCTCAGCCCTACTTGAGACGAGCAGACTTTTCTCCATGCAGCCCTGCCTGTGAACAGCCCTGGCAGCCAGTAGCTTGTCTCCTCGTCCCCAGCTGCGTGCAGCTCCAGCAGCAGTTTGGCCCAGCTCCTCACACAGCACAGCCAAAACACAAACCCTATGTGTAACAGCACAGGTGGAAGCCTTCCAGTTAGTAGCTGGTTTGTAGAATAGTTTGGGATCGTTCAAGTTGGTAAATGCTGCATGAGGTTAAAGCACTGTTGTGCCTCATGCTCGCATAAACCCACATTTCATAGCTTTGCTGTGCAGGTTAAGTCGTAGCAGATCTATCTGGAGCACCCACTGAGGCTAAGCAGTCTTCCACTTTGTTGTTTGATATCAGATGTTTTATTAGGGAACTAAAATCCAACTTGACCTAAACAAGGCGGGCCTCCCTGTGATTTTTAGGATGTTATGCCCTATTCCATGTCCGTACCTCACAGGCCGGTGTGTAGTTAATTATGCGTGGCCTTCCTTACCTTGTTAATTGATGCGCAAGCTTTGGGAGGTATGGATCATTATCTAACGTAATCATGCAGAAATGTGAAGGGCGGAAAAGGGAGGAAAAGAAGGGAAAAAAAGCCCACATTCCTTGATGCCTTAGCACAGTGGAAGCGTGTGGGGGTTGCCCCAGCAAGTTCAGAGCTGGAATGCCTCACGCTATCACCGGGCTCCTCGGGCTTTGAACAGCCCGTGGCTCCAAACGCCTCTGTGATCCTGTTTAGAGAAGCCACTTGAAACGTGTCTGCTCCTCCTGCTGCCCCTTGCCCTGGCACCTGGCAAGAGGGCAGAGGAGCCTCTCCCTCCATTTTCTGCTCACTGATCTCCATCTCGCCGTTGTTCACTCGCAGCTCGGGAGGCAGGTGCTCTGGAGGCCGCAGGCTCCTTTAATCCCTATTAAGAAGAGCAGATCACAGTGGCCCCTCTGGCCTTGTTCCCGATGACTATGAAACTAGCTTTAGCTGCGCAGAGATTTAATCTTTCTAGTGGAAATGTAGCGTTGGTCAAAGGTCTGCGCTGCATCTTTTAGGGCAGTTTCTTAGCTCCGGGAAGTTAATCGCGAGGCAGCGGCCGCTCCGAGTCGCAAATTTTGGCAGAAGGCTTCTGCAATGGATTCACCTTCCTGCAGCTCTCCTCTTTTGTGGGGAGAGGCCCCACAGAGGAAAGCCCCAAACTCTGCCAGAGGCGGGGAGCAGGCCCCTTGCAGGCTCCTGTCGCTCCTTCAGCTCTTTCCCCCCCTCAGGATTTGTGCCTCCATCTTCAGTTAATTCAGATTGTACCTAAAGTGCGTCCACAACTACGTTTTTAAGCAAAAGTGGTTTCCATAGTAACACTGGAGCTTTCCTAAATGCAGTCGATGATGTAAACAGCTAAAATGACTGTCACCCCAAATAGTTGTTTATTTCTTCGCTGTAGTTTATTGAGTATTTAAATCTCTTGTAGCACACACAACAGATTTACCACTTCTAAGTATAACTTAGAGGAGTAACACGTTTTTTTTTTTTCCTTACTGCTTCCATTTCAGCTGATCTGTTTCCATGTCAACCGCACACATTGATAACGAATTGACATTCTGACTGCATGTGGCAGTACGGGGTGCAAGGTGGCAATTAAAATAAATCGATGTTTCTAATGATGCTGATGCTAAAACTGTGCCAAAATCCTGGGATTCCCATGCACAGGAGCCAGAGGCTGCTCCTTCAGTCTGCAGAGAGCTAGGCAGGGATTCTCAAGGGAACAGACTTTCTTTGCAAGGTTTTCAAGCCTCCCTGCTTAGAGATGCAGAAATACTGGGAAAGCAAACTCACTCTGTCTTTTTTTTTTGCACTCACACACAGAAAAACGCACCTAGCACTGTGTGTGTCTGTGTGCACGTGTGTGTTTGCTTTGGCTCATCCACCGCTAATCTAGGCGAGGTCTAGAAATGCATAAAGCATGCATTGAAAATAGACCTCAATTCTCGGACTAAAAACCTGTTTTGAGTCAAGTTTCTGTTTTAAAAAAAAAAAAGAATAAAAAAAAAAAGTGGAGCAGGAGGACTTGATTACAGCCTCCCCCCAATTTCCTTGTCATGAATAACTGAATATTGAAATTTTTGAGGGACAAGAAGCATGGAGGCCCAAAAGGGCAATTTTTAAACTCAGGGGCCTGTTCAGCAAAGACCTGCTCTTCAAATCGTGTATGAGGGGGATGAAAGTGGGCTGCTTTTCTCTGTCTGTGTGAGCAGCATGTGGATTCACAATTGCCACAGTTGAGGTACCATCGCTGGGTTTGTTTTGCTTCCTGTTAGTGCCTGGAGGGGCTAAGATCAGTGCCCACTGTATTAAACACCCCATTTATACGCCATAGATGGATGCAATCCACAGGAAGTCCCAGGCAAAGCAGACAGCAAACAAGGAGAGGAAGGAGAGAAAATATTACCCCTGTTTTGCGGGGACGGGGAGGGATTGGAAGGAGTTGTCAGAGCTGGGGCTAGGAGTGGCTTCCACAAGATGCAGGTTCCCTCCCTGCAGTCTGGGTGCCCGAAAATGCCTCGTCTGCTGTTTGCTCAGGGCCATGCTGGAGTTTTGTAGCAGGGGTGGGAATCCAGCTCCGTGCTCCTGAATCGAAATGTGCTCATTTCCAACGGAGGGCATGCTCTGGTAACATGTTTCCATGGGGCATTCAGCTGTGTGGAGGCACTCTGCTTTGGAGTAGGTTTGAATTTGCAGTTCCCATTGGTTTTGGGGACTGTGATAACCTCCTGTTGTTACAGGCATCCTAATGGCATACCTAGTGATCTTAGCTGGTGTGGCTTCAAGTGGTAGCCAAAAGAAAGAAACTGTCCAAGCAACAGTTCAGGTCAACTCCATCAGGTGTCTAGCACTGCCTGCTGCTGTGCTGTGACTGTATAAATTCACCTGTTATGTCCTTCATGTCATGGGAGCACACCAGTTTGATGTTTTTGTCAGGCCCACAAACTTCGTCCAGTGAGTTTTCTATTTTTAAATTAATTTCTAAGATACTGTTCTAGAGAAAAAATAAAAAAGCATTATTAAGGGTAGTGTGATTCTTGCTACCACTGAGGTGTGCCAAAATGTGGTCAGTTTCTGCCCTCGTGCATGCACAAAAGAGCAAACTCCAACCCCAAATATAGTCATTTATGGAATGGAGAATGGAGATGAATATAGTAAAACCCCCACATGTACTAATGCTGATGATCATTTTATTTCCAGATTGGATTCTTTGCATTTGCATTGCATTTGGAGGATCTCTGAGCGCTTCAGAAGGACTAAGGAATTGTGCCTCACAGCGGCCCATAAGGTGGTAAGTAGTGTTCCTGTTTTTTGTAAATGTGGAAGGATTGTGGGATATTGATAAACAGAGAAATTGCCAAATCAGTCAAGGCAGCGGCAAATAACTTTTCCCTGTAGAAAAATATCACTCTTTCAAATACAAGACAGGTACAATGTTGATGTGTTTCAGCAAACAAGCCATTGCCGAATGACTTTAATTTGATTGCCCACGAGTGAGACTCTTTTAGGGCGCGTTTTGTGATTGTCACCGAGGTGGTATAACATGAGGAATAGATTGCAGCCGAGAGGGGATTTGTAATCTGTTTGTTGGTCCGGAATATTGGCTGGAGCTGACAGTAGAACAGCAGCTGGTTAGATGGGTCCACGCAATAACGAGGGCTAAGAAGATCTAGCGCTCTCTGTTGAACTGCTCTTGGCCTTCCTTATCATATTACCTCATCTCCTAGCTGCAGGGATTGGCAATCTTTCAAGGAGGGATGCACAATGCTGGTTTTTTCCCCCTTGCATTAGAGGTAGGAAAGCAGCAGAGGCTGTAAGTGCTGCTTCTGTGAGGCCTGGCTGACTTGGGTGACACCCAGCACCTGCAGGACTTGGCTTTGGAAGGAGGGAGGACCCCGCAGGCACCCTGCCGAGCATCGCAGCCTCCAGTGCTTGGCTGTGCCCTAGCTGGGGTCTCTCGGTGGAAATCCTTCACTGCAGCCTTGTGGCTCCCAGCTGTCAAGCCGCGTTTCGGTACCGATAGCCACCATCCTGCGGAGATGTGACTAGCCATATGGTAGGGCTGCTTCTAGCACCATTTGATTAGCTAACTTTAATTAACGGGCAATTATAATAACCAGAGAGACAAATACAATAACCGACTGTCATGCTTCATCATAAATGATGGCTGTTGTAGCCACGCCGATATTATTTGACTTAATATGAAGAAGGTGCTTGACATACACCACAGAGAGTGAGATGAACGTGATGCATAAGACAAACTGGGTGCTAACATGTGGTCCCTGATGTTCAAAAGCTCTGGAAACTTGTCCATAATCAGTAGCAGCAGAGCTCTGAAGAATGAAAGGGCAGTCACAACCATTTATATACAAACTAATGCAAACCAGAAGAAATAACCAGCCAGATAGCAGCTGAAGAAAACTGTGACTTGGTCCCGGAAGCTCTGTACTAAAGGCCTGGACCTTTGCAGGAGTAGACAAGATCAGTTCCTAAGACACAACTGAGAAATCTTTGTGCAAAACAAGAGGTCTGTAAGTGATAGATGTCTAATGATGTTTGGCTATAATTGCATGCAGCGTGACTACCGTGAAAATGTTAGCCAAAGTCTTTCCGCATCGGAAACCAAACCTTGCTCTTACAACCTAGGATTTCTTCTGAGCTTTGCTGAGGGGCTGCAGTTTTGAAACCAGAAAACTATAAATAGAAGTATAGAAAACTATAATTCTAATAATTGAACTTGCCCTTTTTTCACTAGTGTTGTCTGACACCAGGAAGGGGAGGATGAAAGAAACCAATTGCTTTACAACTGTTTATGTAAAAAGTATGGTGTGGTAGAAGTGTGTGTGTGTATATATATATTAATAAATCAGGTATACTATGCTGCAGTCTTCTGCCATTCTAAAATAGAAGAAAGCAAGAGTTTTTCAGTGGCAAAATAAAAATACCGTCTTGTGGGATTGTAGTAGAACTGTAAAGCAGATTCCCCTGCCTTTGGGCTGGTGCAGTGAAAATGTGGGGTGTTGCTCACAGTTCTGCTTGGCTTTGTTCAGTGTCTGTTGTCTTTTGTTGTCAACGGGGTGCAACTCCCACGGAGTGAAACAGTGCGAGTAGCGTGGGCTAAGTCGTGTGCCTTAAAACAGCTGTAGGCTGCCTGAGGCAGCACCTCAGTGATTTGTAGGACTAATGAAGGTGTACACTAACAACACTGACCTGCAGCCAGCTTGAGGATCAGGACCAAAGGTTGCTTTCAGGTAAGAAAAAGGGGAGGTTGAAAATACACAGATGAGCAAGAATAGTGTTGTGAGCACTGATTCGTCTCCTGCTGCTGTTACTTTGCAACTAAGGTTGCAACCTGAAACATAATTAACTAAAATACTGTTTTGAGCTTCCTTAATGTTCAAAGACTCGGTTCAACTGATGAGGGTTGGGTAGGGCACGTGGAGCTCGGGCACGTGGGTAGGAGCTTACTGAAATCTAGAGGGGCTTTCTGCTGGGGTGTATGTCACTGAGCAGTCCTTTTGCTACTGTTTGGAAGGACAGGAATGCCCTGCCTCGTCTGTCCATGCTGGTGAAGGTAGGGATGCAGGGACAGATTTCCCTATCCCTCTACAGGAACCTGGTACCAAAGAGCATGCTGCAGTGATTCAGTGGTGGTAGGTTTTTGGCCAAAAGCTGACTGAAAGAGCATGCAGTGCCACATGCAATACTTTCTTCCTACGCTGCCCTGGCTGTGCCAGGTACGGTCCAGTTCTTCTGCCTCACAGCAGAGGTGCAAGGTAGTAAGTAACAGCTTGCTCCGTTCACTCCCCATGCCTGTGAGGGGAAGAGCAGCTCTTGCCACGGGAAGAGCAGCTGTGGGTCTCAGCAAGGACTGGCGAGTGCACATCACAGCAAAAGCGAGTTTTCAGGGTGTCAAAAGCGTCTCACCTTGGCTTTGTCTGGATGCTGAAATGCTGAGGCAGCGTCCCGATGCACTTCGTTATTCTGGAGGAAAGCTGCTCCGATTACGCCTCAGGTTCCTGCAAGGATGGCTGGGGCCAGAGACTGGCCTATAATTGCAGCTGTCAGCTCACTGTTAAATGGAGAGATGTAAAATACCTCCTTGCACATCATTTATTAACATTTAAAACCCATCAGGGGACATATAAAACGTTTCTCTTTTTGTAACATTTATAAACTCCTGAGAAGCACAGACACATTCCCCTATATTAATTACTCTAATTTAGGCAAGTGTCCGTGGAGGGCCCACCAGCTACGCTTCCCCCCGCAATCCTTTTATTTCTGGTCGTTGCAGTTCCCCTGAGCCCCTTCCAGCTGCAGATTCTCCTGGCGTGAAGCAGAGTAATGCTGGAGAGCAAATGTATTTCCAGACCTCGCATACATGAGGGAGGTGCACTAAGATGGCTGGTAAAGCTGCCGAGTTAACCCAGTGCAGAACGCGATGTGGACGGTCTTATTTTGTGTGGTCGCTTCTTTTAGATTTAGATGAGTTGTGAAATCAAGGAAAACCCCATTTAACATCCTCAAACAAAGATGTGTGAAGGCATTTGCATCGGCTTAACGTGAATTGTTTTGGTCAGATTTAAATGAAACCAGTGAAACTTCCTTGTACTGAGCCGACCTCAGTAAATACAGATTTGTCTCCTGCAGGAGGGGTTTGCAGCTCCTCTGCAACCTTCTCTTTGCATTTTAGTCACCTGTGCCAGGAGCCGGTGGGAATTATAAACTCTGCCGGATCAGCGTAAATCAAGGGAGGGACATTTAGTGGTCTAGGAAGGAACATGAAAGAAGGCAGCTTCGCTTGTCTCTCTCCGTGAATATGATCACAGCATCTCCTTTGATCCTCTCCGGGCCTGCTGCTGTAAATGGATTGGGGCTGTCACAGATCCTCAGTGCCTTGCTGCTGCTGTCAGAGCATCCCATGGGGCCGGGACGTGTGGGGTAGTCCAAGCGATGCGTCTGACTGCTGTAGGGTCACCCTGCCTCATCTCCAGAGGCAAATTCTCTGAAGCATTCAGTTCTTTTTCAGGCTTTGGGATCGGCACCCATGTGCTAGAGCAAGAAAATGGGCCGTTACCTATTGGTTACCCCTGGGGTTATTTCAGCCAGCTGTTAAAATAGCTGATAAAAAGAAATGTTCATGAACACTTGCAGTAGACATCTTCTCCTGCAGTGGTGTGGCATTTGGAGAATGAAATGAATGTGTTATACCGAACATCATCCTGAGCTTCCCCCGTGATGTAATTTGAAGAGTATTCCCCGGCTGCGTGTGCTGAGCTGTGAGAACTGTTGCTGGGAGCACGTAATGTTGTGCGTGCTTAATTTTAAATGACTACAGCATGGAGAAAGAAGTCTCTGTGTGCTATAGGATCGCCGTGGTCTTGAGTGAACGGATCCATGGCTTTCTTCATCAGAGGTGAGGCCAGAGAACTGCTGCTTGCCACTTTCCTGCTAGACACTTGCTGTGTCACCTGTGAGTGCTTTAGTGAGCATCCTGCATCGGTGATGGAAAGGCACCAAGAAAGGTGTGGAGTGGCAGGGTTCTTGTGCTGGTGGCTGATGAGGCTGAGTGCCCCGAGGAGAGGCCTTTGGCAGTGCCATTCTCCCCGTTAGCTGTGCCAGAGATCAGAGGAGGGCTGAAATTTGTTTTTATCAATTCAGCAACAAGATCCTACATCTGTTCCTAATTACAGGTAGGGGTCTCAGAGGAGGGCTGACTTACGGTGTATGTGGATATCAAAATGCATGGCTCTCGTTACTTGAATAGGTAAATAATTTTATTCATCATCTGTGCGGGGACGTAGGAAGCGTAGCCCAGGAGATGTTAACAATTAACTGCAATCTCGTTTGCATTACCGGCTATCAATATCTTCAGCTCTTCTGCACAGTAGTTTAATATTGACTATGTAAACCTTCTGAAAAGGAGGTTAACTTTTTTTTTTCCTGTGTGAAACAAGCGTTAAAAATATGTATATATTTATATTTTTGTCAGATTGCATTTACAGCATATTTTTTTTTCTATAGTGGATATGTTTTTGTGGTTCTCTGCTTTCTTTTGGTGGCCAAATGTCTTCTGTAAAATCTGGGCTACCTCAGCTCTTCGGCTTCCGTTCAGCTTAGGGTGCTAACCACCTTGCAGGCTGTTTCCCATACCTGAAACAGATTTCCCTGGACCCCAACATTTTAGTTTTGGCAGAGTTGCTGTTGTTGCTCATCCACTGAAGGCAGTGATCTCTGTCCCATGCAGCATACAGATTGTACAGTCCATTAGGGCAAGGATTTGTTCTTATT